ACTGGAACAGCACATCAGAAGAGAACTGCCAGAAGTCCAGGCTGGGTTTAGAAGGGGTAGTGGTACTAGGAATACTGTAGCTAATGTTAGATGGATCTTGGCTGAAAGCAGGGAGTACCAGAGGAATGTTTCTCTGTGCTTCATTGATTATGCAAAGGCATTTGACTGTGTGGATCACAGCAAACTGTGGTTAACTCTGAGAAGAATGGGACTTTCAGAATACTTGATCATGCTAATACCAAACCTATACTTGGACCAGGATGTAGTTGTTAGAACTGAGCAAGAAAGCACTTCATGGTTCAAAATTTGGAAGAGTGTATGTTCAATGTTCTTTTCCAACAACTGAGTTGTTATGTGCTGCTGAGTTGCTTACAATTTATAGCAACACTATATACAACAGCTCTGAACCATGTTCTATCCTAAGCCAATCTTATTGTCTCTGATACATCTACCCCCATTACCACAGTCACTGAGTCATCTATCTCATTCAGGTTCTCCCTTTCTTGCCTTGTGACTCCACCCTTTCAAGTATGATGTCTCTTTCCAAGGACTGGTACTTCCTTATAGTGTGTCCCAAGTATGTCAGATGGAGCTTCAGAATCCTTTCCTTCAAGGAACAGCCTTGTTTCACCCTCTCCAGGATGAATGTTTGTTCTCCTAGCAGTCTATGGTTTATCTAATACTCTGCTCCAGTATCACAGTTCAAAGGCATCAATTCTTCTATCATCCTTAGTCATTGTCAGCTTTCTGATGCAAAGCAAGAAACTGTTAAGACCATGCCCAGATCAAGTGCACCTTAGACTCCAGACTAGCATCACTGCTCTTCAGCACTCTGGAGAGGTCTCTGACAGCAGATTTTCCCAAAACAATTCATCTTTGGATTTCCTGGGTGCTGGTACCAAGAAATCCTACCAGGGGAATAATATCATTAAACAGCATCTTCTTGGTGGGAACATGCAAATAAGTTATATAGACCACTAGTAAATGGATTGGTCCATTTTGCCATCTTACTACTCTTATATTGATCACATGTAGAAGTAGAAAAAAGGCATCTCACCACCAACAAGAAAGAAGAAACAGAGCATGCAGTAGGTCCTTTGGGCCAGTGGTACCTGTGTAACCTGGGATACAACGGCCTAGGTAGTAACAGCTGTGGCAGTAGAGATGGTGTATAACCAAAGACTAGAGTGAGACAGAGTCTTGCTAGCTCTGGAACCCCAGGGAACCAGAACCAGCTGTCTGTACCTAGGTTTACTGACAGAATCATGTGGCAGGAGTATGCGTGGAGCACAGAATCAAAACAGTAAGGCCAAAGAGAAGCTGACCTCCAAGAACTCCTGAGAAGAATTGCATCTTGCATATTTCCAATCTGAACAGCAACCTGTCTCTGGTAGTTTGGATCCATCATTAACTCCTCAAGAGAAAGATGAACAATCATTTCCCATGAGATTTATATCCTCAGACAACTCAATGGAGCTTCAGCTCCGAATTGGTTTCAACTCCACAACAATGAGTTTTGAGACCTCCCTAGCAAATCCCTTAATCTAGAGTGTTGTTAGCAAGTTCTCTGTGGTTATTGCAGTGAATTATGGAAACTAGTGATAAAGTAACATGGTCAGAGGTGTGGGAGAGGCAGTTAGTGCTAGATTTAATAGAAGGTGCAGAAACATGGGACCATGCCTGACTTCATCGTAATCAGCTTTGTGTTCTTGATGGAGATTCTTCCCCTTTGGAGTTAGTGAAGGCCAAGCTCTGCAAAATCCACATGCAGCTCACTGTTTTTACAGTTTGTACCAATAACAGTTAATGGTAACTAATAGTTAATGATAT